GTAAATCTAAATCTTATGTAAATATTTCACACATTATTCAAGTACATTATGATCAACAAAAAAGTGATAACGATGAAATTGAATTATATCCAAGTCAGCAATTTACTGTGCATTATGTTATAAAGTTAAAACAACATAAACTGAAAAATTGTTCATTGACATTTAATACTTCTGATACTAAAACTTGTGAACGGTGGTTAAAAATATTGAAAGATAAAGTTAAAGGTATATATTATTACTTTTGTTTTTGTCAATATTATAATTAGTATGAACCTATATTTTGATCATTCAAAATTTCTTGTTTATATTTTATTTTAATTAAAATATTGTATTGGAAGCAGATAAAGTATTGTTATTAAGTAAACAAATAACAAAACATTTTTTTTATTAAGGTTTTGTTACATACTTACTTTTTATTTTGCACTTTTTTTTAAAAATCAATCCTTAATCTTGAGATTGTTGATAGAAACGCTGGCATAGATGACAGTAGGGGTACTAGTGTTGTTGGTAGAGGTGGTGGTAGTACCTTTGGTGCTGATGTAGGAGGCGGTGGCAATACTGAAAATGGGGGTGGTTTCAGTTGGGATGGTGTGGCTTTGTTGCTACTTTCTGGGGCATACTATAAATTGCATGGAATTGGCAGAATTGTTGTGACTAGAGCTTGTTCATGGTGGTGTGGTCAATGCAACTTCAGTTTTGTATGTGTTAGTTTTGTTATAATGGTTCCAGCTTTACTAATATAGAATTTAGTCAGTTACAGAATTTCTTGGGATTAATGAGCTAGTTGGAATGGTGATTTCATTGCATGAGTTCTCTGAATCAGTATTTGTTCAATGGAGATAGATCAAAAATGCGACGAAGCCCATTTTTATGTTTATATGTGATGACCATTCTGTTACACCATGTTGTAGGTTCTCCTAGAGGTACCTTATCAGTAACTCCTAGAGATTCATCACAAGTTAAATCCTTTTCCACCTGGTCTTGTCAATGAATGGGAATGGTGGCTAGAGTAAATACTGCAACTGGTTTGACATTTACTTGAGTTAAAATACTTCATAAAAAATAATTCAAGGCCTCTCCATATCAGGTAAAATCTGGTGTGAACATGTATTAAATGTTGAGACAGAGTATCTTTCAAGAAGCCAAGCTTTCTTTTGTTTATTGTTTTCGGGAGAGCAATCAAATGGAAGTTTAGTGGATGCATGTAATAGGAGACTTCCTTTAAGATATTATGGTATTATTTTTACTGGGTCTTTACATACATATGGTATTATTTTTACTGGGTCTTTTGGTCTCTTTAGTCTAGTAGCCTGAGTTAATAGACCCAAATGCAGGCACTGCCTATCTCTAGAAAATATTTAGAGATGATACCCAATTGGGTTATGCTTCTTTAGATAAGTAGAATCTGCTTGCATCTAGACTTACAAAAACCATTAACTCACATTCAACTTTGTTGCTGATAGGTTGTTGTCCTTCAAGATGTAAAAGAATTGCACCTTTGATACGAAATTGGGTTTAGGTTGGCAGCTGACATGTTATACATGCTGACATGATGGTTTATTTCTGTGGAACCTTGCTTCACATTAGTCATCATTAGTGATTTTAATTTTTTTGATTTGAATGCTCAATTGCGCTCAACTTTAACGCAAGTCCGCTGGCATCTTTGGTTGCATTCAATTTCATATCATTTAAAATGATTCTGTTGTTAATTTTAGAATTGTGAAATCTAAGCTTCTTCTAACAATCTAAACACAGCTTGTGGGGTTTTGTGTTCCATCTTCTAGATGACTCAGTAAATAAATTCAAAAAAGGATTTTGAACAATCTGGACATTTAGCTGTAATATTAGTCCTTTTAATACCCTGCTTATTGCTATTGTTTTGTTTCTTGAAAGTTGATACACTTGCTGTTGTTAAACGACAACCTAGTTTTGTGCCTATTCCTTCTATAAAAGCAATCATATATGTGATTGAGGCTGTGCCATCCAAGCATATCTTTACGGATGTCAATGTCTGGTAGTCTAGCAACAACATTGTCTCATGATAACATTGGTAAAATCAACAGTTTTTTATGGGTGGCAGTGGCAATGTACATCGTAGTTGCAAGTAGCAGCCTTGCCCTTCATTTTTTCATAGAATGACTGAATATTTTTGTTGTATCCCTGTCTCATTTGAAGGAGTTCTGCCCTTCTAATGCTAATGGCTGCTGTGATAAAAGCCAGTGTTTTCATTGCTTTTAGAAATACCTCATCATTTTAGTTAATTATCTTAGGATTTTCTTTCAGGAGTTGATTTTCTAAGTCGTCTTCACAGCACTGAAACAGCTGTGCTGTCATCTCTTTTTTATCTATTGAACAATATCCAGCAACTAATTAAGTTTGCCCACTCTTCTTATAAGATATCCTGACCGATGTAAGGACAATCTATTTTTGGTGTCTTGTGCTTTGAGAAGGCTGAATGAATGCTGTGCCTGCAATATTTCCTCCAAATTTTGCAGGCACGGCATTTCAAATAACCTCTCTCTCTCTTTCTCTCTCTCTCTCTCTCTCTCTCTCTCTCTCTCTCTCTCTATATATATATATATATATATATATATATATATATATATATATATATATATATATATATATATATATATATATATATATATATATATATATATGTATATATATATATATATACATGTATATATATATATATATATATATATATATATATATATATATATATACATACATACATATATATATATATATATATATATATATATATATATATATATATATATATATATACATACATACATACATACATACATACATACATACATACATACATATATATATATATATATATATATATATATATATATATATATATATATATATATATATATATATATATATATATATATATATATATATATATATATATATATATATATATATATATATATATATATATATATATATATATATATATATATATATATATATATATATATATATACAAGGCTTGAATTGACGTAAAAAAATCTAATTGCGAAAAAAAAAATTATATTCACACACCCCCACACCCCCTCCTTATACCTTGCGCCGCTTTGCGGTAATAGGGGGGGGGAGGGAAGTTAGTATATAGTTTTAACTTTTGTATGTAATTGTTCTATTTTAACATATTATCTCTCATATTTAAATTTAATCTTATAATTTTCTTGTTTGGCAGAGTTTAAAATAGCGTAAGTTACTGTTATTATTTACAACTTGAGTTATAACTTAAAGTTTAAGTTGCAGTTGTAATAAGCAATAACATTTTTAATACTATTAAGATATTTCTTTAAGTATATTTTTACTTAATATGATACTTAAAAAAGTAAAAGAAAAAAAGTAAGAGAAAAAGTAACATTACAATATCTAAACCACTTTAATTAGTCAAAGAAAACTATTTAATACATTCATGCTCACGTTAAAACATGTGTTAATTTTAAAAAGTATTTAATTGTTAAAAGCTATAAAATAACATTAAAACTGCAAAGTTGTTTTAAAAATGTAAAGAGCTTGGGTTAATGTAAAACAAATAAGTGACGCTGTTTTGTGTTGATTTATACAGTTTATAAAATAAAACGCGTTTAAAATAAAAGGAAGCAATTAAATAAAATTGATCTAGTTAATAAACTAAAACAAAACTTCATATTTGCGCCTATAGACCTATATGAGTTTATAATCTATAGACCAAACGAGTAAGATCAAAGCAAAACAACATTAGATACCACTTCTTTTATAAATTATCGTTTCCTTATCAAGCGTACTTTTAAAAATTTAAGTATAATTAAGTTTTTCATTCAAATGTTATTTAAACTAATATTTTCATTCAATTTTTTTTTATTCTAATTGTTTTCCAAAAAAAAGTGAAACAAAAAATTTTGTTTAATAAATCAAATTATATTAAGCTTAAATCATTTTTTTAAAAAAATTTTTTTTTCGAATAGAAGTAAAATAATTTATTAAATTTAATTTAAATTTTTTATAGTTTTTATTTTAACTTGCAATTTGCAATCACTGCTATGATGTTTGCAATAGAATGTTTCTACTTTACAATTTACGAAAAAAAAACTTCCTTCATTCTCACTTGTTTCATCAAACTTTTTTAAATTAAATTTTTTTTTTTAATTTCAAATTTCAATCACAAAATTATTTGAATAAGTGAATTTTAAGGCTAAAGTTCTTTTGTTCAAATAGATTTCTTTTTAAATAAAATTCCTGAAAACAACTTGCATATTTATAGAAAATATTTAGTTTAGATTCGCTACAAATAAAATAAAAATATAAAAAAATGGTGTCGCAATTTTCATATTCTATTTGACAATTTTTGTTAAAATAATTATTAGTTAAAAGCTTATACTATGTGTTAACAACATGTAAGATCTAAATTAAAACATGTCTATGGCTAACTTTTGCAAGTATATTAAATAAATTAATATAATTGTTAAATTAATACTTGAGTAACTGTAAGTTCAGGCGCGGATGCAACATTTTTTGATGTTTGTGATACCTAACTTCCAGACATGGAGCAAACTCCAAAAATTTATATGTTTATACTTATATCGAATAAGGATGCTTTGGAAAAAAATTGCACCGATTGGAGCCTGGGAACAAAAAACATGAGAGCAAGAAGTTGATAACATAATTTTTATAGTATTCTTAACTAAATCTATATTCATCGATAAATTTTAAAACTCACACAATAATCTCTTAGTGTTAAACAATTATGGCCTAATAAAATTTCAAATTTTTAAGGTCATAGTTTATATTTAAAAGTAATGTTTTCATAGTAAAGTAGCTCACGCAAATAGTAGATATTTGCGTGACGTACTTTACTATGAAAACATTACTTTTAAAAATTGCCAAAAAAAAAAAAACGCTAAGTTAGAAAAATAGTAAATAAACAACTAAAAAAGTAAACCAATTGCAAAAATATATGTTTTAAGAAAAAACTAATCACGAAGGTATAAAAAGCAATCGAGATTCACGATTGCGATACGCTAAATCCGAGCCTTGATATATTTATATAAATATATATATATTACTTTTTTTAATTTTTATTATAATTTTATATTCATATTACTTTTTATATAATTTTAATTTTACCATCTAATAGTTCATTAAAAATAATTTCTCTATATTTGGCATTTTTCTTTCAGAGTTTTCACATCCTAAAAAACTATTAGTTTTTATCAACCCTGTTGGTGGACGAAGACAAGCTCAAAGAATATATAAAGAAAAAGTGGCTCCATTGTTTGATTTAGCTAAAATTGTTCAGACAATAATAGGTTAACTAATTTATCTATATATATGTATTTATGTATACAGCGTTAAAAATAATGCTTGGTGTATGTATGTATGTATGTATGTATGTATGTATGTATGTATGTATGTATGTATGTATGTATGTATGTATGTATGTATGTATGTATGTATGTATGTATGTATGTATGTATGTATGTATTATTAATTAATTATTATTAAAAATAATATAATTGATTTGCTTTTATTCTTTTTAATTTTTTTCACTGGTAGGCATTAAAGGGCAATTTTTAAAGCAATTTATGTTCAATGAAATTTTCCGTCGAAGAGACCTAATGATTTTCTACTTCTAATTATTATTTAAGTTTTCTTTGACGTCCTTTATGGTTGAACCCTTATACTATCATTTAATAAATTATGTCATCAAAAGAAATGTTTTGAAAATAGAAAAATAAAAAAGGTTTTGAAAATAGGAAGCCCAAGCTCGTAAATTTCAAATTTCACATTTATTGCGAGTTCAATTTTTTAATTAATACTGACTTTCTTTATTCATAAATTGCATAGCGAACTAAAGTTACAATTACAAAGTCTCAGCAAAAACAATAACAAATGTCATTTAGTTACAAAAGAGTTACAAAAAATCAAAAGTGATTGCAAGCTATCGTGGCAATGAAGAATACCAATAATTATTTTTTTATGCATAGTCATTAAATGTTATTATGGCTATGGTTCATTGAAACATTTAAATTTGATTTTACAAGCAAGCAGTAAATTTAGTTTTCTTGTTTTTTAAATTTCTAGCATTAGTTTATTGTAATAAAAAAAAAACACCCTTGTTATTAAAGGTATTTAATTTATGTCTAAATATACGTATTTAGTTTACATTTTAAATATAAGCACCCAGTAAAGTAAAGAAGTCTATTTTCCTCATTAAATAAATTTTTAGAACCAATTTGTTATATAATCAGAAAACATTTATTTAACTTATTTAACTTTTCTGCCAAAAAGGGCAAAAGTTTTAAAGAAATAGCATTTGTAGTTGTTAAATCAAACAAATTTGTAAATTTTTAAATTGTACTTTTTTTCTTGCTATTTTTTTTTTAACAATATTTGCTGTTGTTGGAACGCATTGCAAAAAATTATTTGCAAATTTTGAGAAATTAATTTTTTTTCCAAATGACTTGAGGGATTTTCGGAAAATCTCAATTCTCAAAAAGTTTTTTTCCAAGAGACATTTTTGCAGTTATGCAAGTGTGTAATTATACCAATAGCGGCAATTTATTTTAAGTTTTGAACAATAAATTATAATTTTTTAATGTTATTTTTCTATTAGTTTTTAGTAGTAATTAATTTTCAATAGTTTTTAGAGTTATTATTAAACTTTAATTTGGCAAATAAAAATTTACACAAACATAATGAGCTATTATCAACACAAAGTACATACATACATACATACATACATACATACATACATACATACATACATACATACATACATACATACATACATACATACATACATACATAACATGCATACATACATACATAACATACATACATACATACATACATACATACATACATACATACATACATACATACATACATACATACATACATACATACATACATGCATACATACATACATACATACATACATACATACATACATACATACATGCCAGGGTGTAAACTAGACCTGTGGGGCCTTGTCAAACGTGATTTTCCCAAATGCTCATAAAATTAAAATTCCCAATTTAAAAGTTAAAAAATTCAAGTATGTATGTATGTATGTATGTATGTATGTATGTATGTATGCATGTATGTATGTATGTATGTATGTATGTATGTATGTATGTATGTATGTATGTATGTATGTATGTATGTATGTATGTATGTATGTATGTATGTATTTAGAAAATTGTATGTATGTATGTATGTATGCATGTATGTATGTATGTATGTATGTATGTATGTATGTATGTATGTATGTATGTATGTATGTATGTATGTATGTATGTATTTAGAAAATTGAATTTTTATTTACATACATACATACATATATGCATGTATGTATGTATGTATGTATGTATGTATGTATGTATGTATGTATGTATGTATGTATGTATGTATGTATTTATTTAGAAAATTGAATTTTTTAACTTTTAAATTGGGAATTTTAATTTTATGAGCATTTGGGAAAATCACGTTTGACAAGGCCCCACAGGTCTAGTTTACACCCTGGCATGTATGTATGTATGTATGTATGTATGTATGTATGTATGTATGTATGTATGTATGTATGTATGCATGTATGTATGTATGTATGTATGTATGTATGTATGTATGTATGTATGTATGTATGTATGTATGTATGTATGTATGTATGTATGTATGTATGTATGTATGTATGTATGTATGTATTTAGAAAATTGAATTTTTTAACTTTTAAATTGGGAATTTTAATTTTATGAGCATTTGGGAAAATCACGTTTGACAAGGCCCCACAGGTCTAGTTTACACCCTGGCATGTATGTATGTATGTATGTATGTATGTATGTATGTATGTATGTATGTATGTATGTATGTATGTATGCATGTATGTATGTATGTATGTATGTATGTATGTATGTATGTATGTATGTATGTATGTATGTATGTATGTATGTATGTATGTATGTATGTATGTATGTATGTATGTATGTATGTATGTATGTATGTATGTATGTATGTATGTATGTATGCATGTTATGTATGTATGTATGTATGTATGTATGTATGTATGTATGTATGTATGTATGTATGTATGTATGTATGTATGTATGTATGTATGTATGTATGTATGTATGTATGTATGTACTTTGTGTTGATAATAGCTCATTATGTTTGTGTAAATTTTTATGTGTTTTAAAGATGTAATTGAATGGTTTTTACTAGTTTTAAAGATACAGTTATATGGTATTAGATTACACAGTTTTCCTTCAGGTTTAAATGGCTGCTCCCTATCAATAACTATCTGTGTTTATGTTTATAATTCAACTGTCTGTAAATAATAGTAGTTTAAGTTTGTAAAGTTTCTGCTGCTGATATACCTGAAGCTCTAGAGGTTCCAGATGCAGTATAAATAAATCAAATCCAAACAAATAGGTAATAACAAAAATATAGGCTTATTATCTTAAAAGCTTTGTTTAAACAATTATAAAAACGCCTTTATTCAAATAAGACTTAAACTTTATTAAAAAATCAATAAAATCAGTTAGTAAATGCTAAATCATGGATAAATTGACTAACTGCATTATTTTAACTAATGTTGTAATGATGCCGTTAATAACATCTCTAACGTGATGAACTAAAAAATTAGAATTAATCTTGTTATAAGTCACTTTCAATTTTATTTTTTTTTTAAGATGAAAATGAACATTAAAAAAAAAAGAAACTTTCAAAATAATTTAAGTTTCATGGCACTGATTAGAGAAAACTTTTTTTAGTGGAAAAAAAAAAAAATAAGTTGCTCTATTAGAGCTATGACATTAAGAATGACAGTTTCAAGTTCAGAGCGTATAAATGGTTGTATATTAATAAAAAATTGCCCAATATTTATGTTGTAAAACTATGTGGTATAATTTTTAACACTATTTAAAAAACAAAAAATGGAATAACTTTATAAAATGGCAAATAAATGCTTGAATCAAAATTAAAGAGATTTTGCCGCAATGCAATTTTTCTATAAAAGTAATCATCTATCTGTTCTATTATTTTTTATTTTTTATAACTCATGTTTCACTGTCATTCATCATAAAGCTCTGAACTCTTTTAGTGTATAACTTACCTTTTTTGATTTTCCTGCTGATCTTCCAGATAATAAAACTTAAAAACACTATTTATCTACCACTATTTCAATTTATATTTTAATTTCTAATTTTTTACACTCAAAACCAACAATATATCAATGGTTTAAAGCACAAAAGACACTTTTCCGTAATTACACAGTTTTAAAAAAACATGTTTTCAAAGTTTGAGATCCTTAATTAATTAACTAATTAAAAATTATTTCAGAAGATCAGTAAAATTGTAATCTTTGTTTAATATTAATATGATTATTTATTTTTAATAATATTTATGGCCAAAATGTGAATAAGTACCATTTTTATACGTGTCTCTTATGCTTTAAACCATCTATATAATGCTACTACATCTTTTGTTAGCCTATTGCTTATGAACTGTATAAACAATAGTTTGTACAGTTTCTTTCAAACTCCGATTTTCCATATTTTAATTTTTTCTACATGTTAATTCTTGGCTTTACAATCCAAATTATTTCTTTGTTTTATTTATGTTTATCCTAACTCCTTTTGCTTTTATTCTATTTCTCTACAATCAAGCATAAATTATTTGCATAGAATAGCTCTCTTGATAAAGCAACAATGGACTTTTTTAGAACACTATATCATTTGCTTTTTATTGTTTCTACATTATAGAGTTTTTACTCAATAAGGTAGAAACAATAAAAAACAAACGATATAGTGATATAATATTTTAGAGTGCAAATGTGCTGGAACCTGATGCACTCTAACTTTTACTTAAAAAATGATCTCTTTCTTTTGTTTTCTTTTATTTTTGATTGCTGTTGTGACATTTTTATTAATAGTCATGACAACTGTTGCCAATCATATTTCAAAACTTTTATTAATAGTCATGACAACTGTTGCCAATCATATTTCAAAACTTTTATACCTCAAAGCCTTCAAAAGTTTGTTCAAGGTCCACAAATGATATCCTCAAATATTTATTTAATTTTCAAAAATCTTTCTAGAACTTGCTTTACACTAAATATTGTATCTGTTATTTCTTTGCCTAAAACCAAACGGCATTTTATTGATAAAGGCACTGCTTCTTATTTTGTTGGCAATAATTCTTTTTAAAGTCTTTATTGTCAAGCAATTTTATTTCTCGAAGTGAATTAATTAAATTAAGTAGATTCAATTAAAATAAAGTAACTGTATAAAATAAATTATCAAAATGCTAGTTATGTGGTGGTAGAGCTCTCGCTTCCAACAATAGAGCTACCAGATATAGCTGAACAATAAAAAAGCAATCATGTAAATGATTATAAAAAATTTTAAAAGTTAAAAGTATTAAAAAAGTTAAGATAAAACTTGTTGCTTAGTTGCTTGTTGAAAGCTGACATTTTTTTTAATGCACTCAGTATAGAAAAATTATTTTTAAATCTGTTTTTAGTTTTAAAAGGTTGCCCTGAGCATAAAATGATGAATGGAAAAATTAGAATATTACGCACGAATGTTAAGAAATAGAAATGTAACTAATTTTTTAATTTGTGGATCTTTAAACAAATGTGGTGGTGTAGTGGTAGAGCGCTTGCTTTGTAACCTAGAAGTTCCAGGTTTGACCCCCATTTTTACATTTACAGTACTACATTCCTGTAGTACTGTGATTAGTTTGTTTTTCCGCACAGTGACCTTATTTTTCAAGGTTCTTTTACCCCTCTTGCCAATGCCAATGTATGCCACTCAATGTATGCCACAATGTAATGCCAATGTATTGCCAATGCCAATGTATGCCAATGCCACTCTTGCCTTGTCCCAGTATTGTAGTCCAGATCCTTTTATATGTGAGGTCCAGGACTTCTTGCAATTGCATTTTTAATTACCTGTTTTTTTACTTTTTATTACTATTAAAATGTTAATATTTATATTAACATATACATATTTATATATATTATTATATTTATATATGTTTTTAGACTATTTTTATACATATTTTTTAGACTAAATGTTATGAGTAATAGTCATATAACAGTTTAAAAATAAAGATTATAGGCTGAGTCGTTTTATTACTTTTTATATATTATTGATATTTACTTAGTAAATTGATGTTTATGCTTATTATTGCTATTACTTACATGTATGTTTTAGTTACTGAGCGTCAAGACCATGCAAAAGATTTTCTTAACACTGAAGATTTAACAAGCTATGATGGGTGGGTTAATTTCTGTAACATTTTTTGGTTAGGAAAAAATTTTTTTATGTTTATGTTGTTATTAAAAGTTGAAAAAAAGTAAGAGTCAAAGTTTATTTTGTTGATTTGAAAAATATTTTATGCAAAATAACTAAAAATAATAATTTGACATCAGATAGCTTATTGTCTCATATCACATAGTTTATAACTAGCAACTAGTTGTATCATGTCTTGTTTGTCACTGGCAACTATTTTTCGCATGTCACCTTATTTGACATTAGCAACAAGTTGGTAAAATTTGACTTAAATAAACCGGTGAAAAATGCCTAGAACAAGTTTAATTTGCTGCCAAATTTTTAAAGAATTATTTTAATTTTAAGTTAGTAAGATGTTTCCCATTACAGTGTTGTTTCTGTGGGTGGAGATGGAATGTTTAGTGAAGTAATGAATGGTGTTTTAAAACACAATTGTGGTCATCATACTGTCAAGTTAGGAGCCAATGCAAAGCCTATTCGCTTAGGAATAATTCCTGCTGGTATGTTATCATTTTTTAAATAAAACTTTTTATAACTATTAGTGAATATAAGAACAAATATTCTTTAGAAAGTCATAATTTCTATAAAAATTGATATAAAAAGTTTTTTTTTTCTACACAAAAATATGTAAATGAATAGGCTTTTTGTAGCAATTTTCATAGAAGCTCTATTATTAATTAAAGAGCTTTTTCTGTTCTGGGGCATATGAACAACTTTTCTTTTTGTCTTAAAATAGTTTTTTTTTGTATATCTTTTTATATATTTTATGACTATAATTTTTAGTATATAACATACATAACAACATTTGTAATTATAATTTCAATTATTTTTTATTTTTAATTTTTTTATTGGCTGGTCTTTGTAAACCCATTCAAGATTTTTTAAGGTCATTTTTTTAGAATGCATATTACTTTCCATCAATCTAAATGAGTATTCAGACTGTCACATTTTCTTCAGGTGTTACGGAAACAATTATAATATATTATTGTTTTCAAAATAAATTTGTTTTTAAAATAACAATAAAAAACAAGTTTCTGTATATATTATCTTTAGCAATACTTTTTTTGCCATTTACAAAAAGGTATAAATAAAGTCTTTATATGTATTTGTTTATTCTGTGTTTATTTATTCTGCTTTTAATATACTGAATAAGTATATTATTTAAATACAGATGTGTTACAAAAGTTTACGGTTTTTTCAAATAACTATGAAAAACCATAATTTTTTATAATATGCTTTATGTTGCTATCTTTATGTCAACAAGTTTATTATAAAGTTAAATAACATTTAGTTTTTAAATTTACAAATTTTAAAATGAAATATTTTAGGATCAACTGATACTGTGGTTTATTGCACAACTGGCACTAATGATCCCACAACATCTGCACTTCATATTCTTCTAGGTATATTGAATAATTTTTTTTTTTTTTTATTGAATAATACGTAATTAGTTTATAAAAATTTAGTTAATAATTTTAGATAATAATAGCAATCATAATTATATTAATAATATCATTACTAATAATGTTAATAATAATATTATTAATATTAATAATAAAAATACCTAAGAGAATACTAATAGACAGCTATAATTGATTAGCAATTACTAATAGACAGCTATAGTTGTTCAGCAAAAAAACAAAATCATTTTAAAGATTTTTTTTAAAATCTTTCAAATTAAAAAAAATATATATTATATACATATTACAAACAAATGTAAACAACAACAAATTTTTTTGTTTTAAATTTTATTGCAAATTTTAAACAATTTGAATTTTCTTAACATAAATTTGAAAAAACTTTAAGTTGTTTGAATAATACAGATAATACAAATAAAAAAATTATAATAAACGATGATAATCAACTAAATAATTAAAAAAAAATTTTATTGTGTGGTTAGCCAAATTTTAGAAAGCGATCATTCCACACTAAACAATTCAAACTTTAATAACTTTTTATAAGCAATTTTGTTGAGCCTATTGTTAAGTATTTTGTTTATGATTCGTTGTGGTTTGATATTAAAGGTTTAAGATAGTTTTGTATGCACATAGATTAATAAGAATAGAACCAGATTACCAAAAATGTTGTTTAAAAGAATTCTTATAATTAAAGAATTGTTTACTTCCTGTGAAATTGTTATAACCTTTAGAATGAATGAGATTTTTTAAACTATAAAATGCTTGTGCATGTGTGTACGTGTGTGTGTGCATGTGTGTGTGTGTGTGTGTGTGTGTGTGTGTGTGTGTGTGTGTGTGTGTGTGTATATATATATATACATATTCATGTAAATGTGTTATACACTCACACAAATCACTTCAAAATAAACAATTTTATATATATATATATATATATATATATATATATATATATATATATATATATATATATATATATATATATGTATATATATATATATATAATTGTATGTATATATATATATATATAATTGTATGTATGTATATATATATATATATAATATATATATATATATATATATATATATATATATATATATATATATATATATATATATATATATATACATTCATATAAGTATGTTACAGACACTAGTCACTTCAAAATAAACAATTAGAATAATAATAGAAATAAATTGTAGCATAAAGTATTTTAAAAAGGCTCATTTTACTTCACCCTCCCCTATTTTATTGTAGTCTTCTTAACTGTTGTGGTCCCTTGGCTTTAAGATGTACTTAAGTAAAGAAGAATATGCGTTAAGATGGTCCAAATTTTACACATTATTCAAAATGCAGACTCCACAACCTTAAATGTGTTCTATATAATAAAATAATACTGGAATTGAAACATTAAAAAAATTTTTTTTTAGGGGTAGCTAAAGTCTCTTAAACATCAGACTGGCCCCTAATATTATCAGGAAAAAAGGTTCTTCAAAAGTATAATGTGTTGGGTCTTAAAAGAAGCAAAATTTTATAAAAATTAAAAAAAATAATCATCATTTTATACAAAAATTATTAACTTAGATTTCAATGTTTAAAAAATGACATTTTTAAACTAAAAATAAAAAAATTTGCATTTTCAAAAAGATTTTTTTAATCTAATTTATTTTCCTTCTATTTACTATTTTTAACTTTACAACTCTAGGTTCTTCAGTTTCACTTGATGTTTGCTCTGTCTCAAGTGTTGATAGATTTATTAAATATTCGATATCATTAATGGGATATGGCTATTTCGGTGATATTATTAAAGACAGTGATAAATTAAGGTGGTTTGGTCCTAATCGCTATGATATTGCTGGCTTTAAAAGATTCATGAAAAATAAGTATATAGTTTTTATTAATTTAAATTGTACAATGTAAAATATTATAATCACATAGAGTAAATTTTGATGGGTTTTAAGATTGTGTTTAACAGTGCAACAAACCTCTTAGTGTGACTCTAATCTAATTTCCTATTTAAGGTCAAATAAAATACTTAAAACTTGCCCGTTCTCCTTTCAGATTTTTGAAACTAACATAAAATAAAGATGCTAAACAATTGAGCTTGTATTACTGCCATCTTTCATTGTTATTTTCTGATATTTTTATTTTACACTAGGGCTAGTGCTATAATGCTATAATTTTTATGCTATAATTTGCTATAATTTGCTATAATTTGCTATAATGCTATAATTTTATGTTATAATGCTATAATTTGCTATAAATGCTATAATGCTATAATTTTTCAATTTCTAGTGGAGTTGGATCGTGCTATTTTCACATTTTTATGTTGCATTAAATTATTAAAATTTATTGTCTGACGATGATATAGGCCCTATATAATATTTGCTCTGTGAAAAATATTTTGACTAAAAATAATTCCTTTAATAACTTTTAGTAAAATTATTATTTAACTATATAGAGTTTGACTAAACAAGCTTGTTTAAACAGCCATAGAGTGTACATACATTGACTGAGAGTTTTGGTTTGACTGGCAGTCATTGACTGAGAGTTTTGTTTTGATTGGCAGTCAATTGAAATTAAAAAATTTTAAAAATAAACAAATACAAAAAATTTAATTTAATTAAATAAAAATTTGTGATTTCAGTAGAAAAATATTTTATAAAGTTTATAAGAGCTATAAAAACTTCCTGATGTTATTTATTACCAGGGGTGTGGAGTCATAAAAAAAAAGTAATAACTCCGACTCCAGTTGTTAAAATTTTTTAAGTACAACTCCCACTCCGACTCTAGTTGTTAAAATTTTTTGAGCACAACTCCGACTCCATATCCGATTCTTATAAAAATTTTACGCGATTAGTTAAAAATTTCTTTTTTGACAAGTTTATGATATGTTCTTTGAGGTTTAGTATGAACATAAGGTTAATTGAATGTTTTGTACATGCACTTGCAATACCGACTATTGAAGTCGGAGTCGCGATTTTGTTTAGCGACTCTGACTCCGCTAAAAATGTAGAGACTCCAACTCCGACTCCACAGCCCTGTTTATTACAAAAAAATATACATTAAAATATTATAGCAAAACTTATTACTTTTAAAACCATAGAGTTAAAATACTAAATTTTAAAAACTTCATTACAAAACAATAAAATAAAATTAAAAACAATTATTACAAGAAGATACTTCCGTATTACTTTTGATTAATTTGGAGTAGTTTTAAACTAAATTAAAAAATTCCAAGTTTTTATACAAAAACATTAACATTTGAAAACATTCAGATGTCATCCTGTTTTGTTTTGCATACAAATTGTTTAATGCGTCAGAAAAAATGCGTCCACTTGGTGCACTGGTTGCAGGTGTACATTAAATCATTGTTGAAATACAATATTGGAAACACATGTTTATTTTGATCAAACATTTTGTTCGTGCACTAAAAATTCTATATATTTACTGATTTCTTTTTTTAAATCTAAATATACATTTTTTTCACTATCACTTCCAGGATTATCTTCTTCATCATCAAATAATAACCAAAATATTTTTTATTTCTTTGTCAGCTTTTTAATTGGAATTATTTCACAAACTTTTTGTGCCAGATAAAAATCTGCTAAAAATTTTTTTTAATTTTTCGCTTTTTAATTTTTTTTTTCTCTCGTACTTTTCAAAGAATTGAAAACTTTTGTAATTTGGATTTAAAAAAGTGGCACCAAATAAAAACAAGTTATTCTCTGTTTAATATGAATCTTTGTAAGTTTGTAAAGATTCTAACAAATTTAATTTTAATGGCACAATTAAAGGAGGGGTTTCATTTTTTTTCTTATTTAGTTGTTTCTCAAGGTACTTTATACTTGGAATAATTAATGAACATGTTGCATATCTATCGCTGGATAGTAAAACACCCACTTTATTAAAGCTTACTAATGCATTTACAATTTCATCTTCATCAAGCAAATGTTTTCTCGTATCTTTGTATTGTTGTTTCAAATTAAAGATTTCCTTTATGTAGGATTGAAGTTTAAGCATTTGTTCTGCCATGAGAAACGTGGAGTGCCAGGGAGTTTTCACATCTTGACTCAAACAAAGAATGTGAATATTTTTGACACCATTTGACTTTCTTCTAATAAATCATTAAGTTGAGAAGAATGGTTGAAAGATGTAACAATTTTTCTGCGCTTGGTTAATGTTTTTGCAATAAAAAAGAGTTTAGATGAACTATCTTTTTCGCCTTCTTCATCTAAATCTATGACATTTTTAACTATTAATTGCAATACATGCCCCATACATCTTATTGGTTGAATGTTTAAACAAACTTTTAAAGAATTTAGACAATTGCCTATATTACTGGCATTATATTACTGTTTATTTTATCATCCACTTTAAAATTTTCTAATATTTTTAGCAAAGCCTCTTCCAAATTATCTGTGTCATGGCGGCCATTAAGGCATGCAAAGCCCAAGCAAAAACTGATGAAGTTTGTTTTTTCAGAAATGAAATTTGCAGTTGTAGATATTTAGCGATAATTTTGACAGGATACCCATCCCTTAGTAGTAATAGATAAAACTTTGATTGATAATAACTTCGACTTCCAAAATTCAACTCCTTCTTGATATAAATCAGTTAAAAGAGATTTTAACTTTTTTCAGCACAACATACTTTGAACACATCACTTTTTACCAACATAAACAATAGGCAACAGGCAATAATGAAAATTAAAAGACTTTTATCAATCTAATGTCTATTTTCTTCTTAGTTAAGTTAGTTACAATTTTCTGTTTTGGTCACAACACTAATAAAATTAGATATTAAAATTTATATAAAGATAAGTTTATATACTTAGATGTAGTTTATATAGAGGAATAAACTCTTGATTTAAAGGAAGTGCAACAAAATTGAATATTTATCAAAATTATTTACTATTTTTCAAAAATTTTCGCAAGAAATTTTATTGTTTCTAAATAATAATTCAAATTAGATTCATGATATAAAAATTCAAAATAGTTCATTAACGAGTAATAAACTTTTTGTTTATATTTAAAATTATATTTAAATTATATAAATTATATAAATTTTGTAAAACCTGTATAAGAAATCTGAATGTGATGAGATATGTATCATTGAAAAACATACAAAAAAATATTTTTTATATACAAATAAGAAAAGATAAATGGTTAATAAACAAACAACAAAACAAACCAGCGGTATTTAATAGAAGAACAAAAAAAGTTGGACAGTTGTAAGAATCAAACCACAAACATTCTGTGGATGAAATAACACCTTACCCAAATTAGCCAAAAGTGCATATACTTATAATCAAATAAATGTAGTTATATAATACAAAAAGTTATACATAAAAGTTTATGCATGCATTATATCGATGTTTTTTTATAGTGACAATATATACTTGTTACATTAAAATTATACAAATTTATTTTACAAACAGATAGCAATTTATATTTTCGCTTTTCTCTTGAAAAAAAAAAAGAAATAAAATATAGGAAAATCATTCTTTTGCTTTAATAAGCTTTAACTTATTGAATTTCATTCACTGTTCTCCAAATTGACCACCAGGTTGAACTCTCCCCACTCCCAATTTTTTTGAATTAAATCAATTATATGCAATAGTAAACACAATTCATATTGCCAAAAAAATCTGAACTAAGTGCTAAGTATGTAAATTAAGCTTTTTTTCTTCAAAGATTTAAATTAAGTCAGCCGTTATGGTATTTAAGAAAGCCCAATAAAATTAATCTATTATATAAGAAAACAACATAATAAATACATTTAAAACACATCTTATATTTTCACTATTGTTTGTTTAAATTGAAATTCACTACAGCAGACTTCAACTTTTCGGTGTAATTTTTGTGTCCAATAGTTCTTTTATAATTCCCCCAAGTTTTTTTAAATTTGTGATGAACAGCTTCACCGCATTGTTCTGCATAGTTACCTAAGCTGGTATTATTGTGTTCTACAAAAGGGAGAATATGACACACTAAAATATGTATTTTCCATGATACTGTTAAATTGTAGTCAAAAATATCTTTGGTATACAGTTGAAGACTAAAAAATGAACTTTTAAAGTCTTCAATTTTAACAGAAATATCTGTACCCAATTCCAAACCAAACACTGCTTATATTAATGAAAATTTATGCAAACAATCAATTATTGGTAAAATAATAATTGCTGCAGTAATAGTGATATCTCTCTCTAAAACATCTAACAGTGACAAAAATCTATTGGCATTATTTCCATCAAAGCCTATACCGTGATACCCTCTCATTAGTACGTAATGTTTTTTCAACCAATTTTCAAAAGCTGGCCAAACACACAAAAGCAAAGTACAAAGTTTATCTACAACTTCCATCATAATGTGGAGCTCAGGTGGTGGAACAATGTGTTCAAGAAAAGTTTCTTGATCTTCTTTGTAAGTAAATTAAACGAGGATTTATAACATTTTTGTATTCCTGCATTTTTAATCTTTTTCTTCCATCACATACATATTGATCATAACACAAGTCTATGGAGTCTAAAGTTCTAAGTTTTTCTGTTTCTAATTTGCATTCCCCTTCATAATACAAACAGGCATATTTGCCAGAGTGACTTGACAGTCTAAAAATACTGTTTGCACACTTTAGGTCAAATGCGAGACTAAAATTCACTTCTTCAAGTTTTGGAGGAGCCAATAATTTTTGGAGATTGCCATTATCCTCTGAAACCAACTCCACAATAGCAAGAATATAGCAACGTTTCACGGCAGAATCTTCATATATTTCTGATGAAGAATAGTGATTTTTTGGATCAAAAACATTTATGATAACTTTTAAAATGTTTTAACCGCCATCTATAGAAATTCTTACCATTGCATTAAGATTATTGATGCCT